CCCCCCCCCTTACCTGCTGGAGCTGCCTTCAAGGCTACTTGGGGCCATATGCATGTAGTGTATGTGCACGTGGTGCCCCCTGTCTCACTGCCTTCCTTCCACTTCCTCCCAGCTCCCTGTAGGCTAGAACTCTGCCAGCCTGTAGGTAGCTCATTGCTGGCCGACTTTGAAAAAGATCGGATTTTTCTTGTACAAAGCGAATTTTTGGTATAAATAAGGTCATTGCATATAAGCAAATTTGCACAAAACTAATTTGCATGGAGACCAGAGTGTACAAGCATAAATTCTAAAGACAATAGCATGTTTCACTGCTTTGTGGTTGGGACTGTAATACTGGTATTCCCCAAAGAGCCTTTTTTCCCTACACTTCAGGGAGCCTTTTTTTCGTACTAATTCTTTTAAGCCTTCCCCACCGTGAGTGCCAGTTTATTGTTTAGTGTAGTTGGTTTTTGAAAACTTGACTTTTGTTAACTAAAAACTTCTGTTCTTCAAGTGATCAGTTCATCCATTACTTCATCAGAAATATATTTTTATTGTGTAACTCTGGCAGTGCATCTTAGTACTTTTTTTTCTTGTGAGAACCAAACATTAAGCCAGCTTTCAAAATGCAATTAGGCTTAATATAGAATGGAAAAGAAGTCGGTTGGCTTTTGTCAGCTTTACGATAAAAACTGAAAGATGTGACCATATGTTCTTAAGTAAAAGATGAGTACAAAGTCCTTTTGAAGTTGATTAGACTTTTCTTAGCCTTTTAACATAATTACTCAATGCAACATAAGTTTCTGTGTAAAAAAAAAAAAATATATATATATATATGTATGTATGTAGAGAAGAAATTATTCATTCTCTACTGTACCCCACTTCTGAGTTACTCTGATAGTCACTAAAAGATGGACTTTTTCCTGAACATTTTTGTTACATTTTGTTTACGATGTTTTTTCCCCTGATAAAAAAAAAAAAAAAAGAGTTTTCATTGTATAACAAACATTTGTTGTACATGCAGTATGCATCTGTTAGTGCTGTGGTTTAGTACAGATAAAGTCTTTTCCCATTTTTGCACTCTTCCTGGGTCTTTCAGATTGAATTATGGGAACTTTGTAATACTGAGTTTAAATTTACATTTACCGGTGTTTGGGGGGGGGGGGGGGCTTTGGCGAATTCTGGGACATGTGGTGGAATGTTGTTATCCCTTCTGTCTCCGAGGGCAG